CAATTAAGATCTAATAAATAGCTTATATTATCTGATAAATTACTGACCTTTTTTCCATATTCATATAGTCTCTTAAGGAAGCTTAATATCAAATAAGCCGAAATGGTTTCTCTATTGGGCTTCCTTGCTACTAACATATAGTAAACATACACTATTGTATAAATATATATATATAGTCACAACCACCTGGCCAAATATTGTTTTGTTTGTAAATAGTGTGTACATGTAGTCATTGTACTCGGTGTGTAAACGATGTTAGTGGTGAATTAAATTATTATTATTATTATTATTATTATTCATAAATCTGGTCCTTTACCGTCACGTGCGTATTGTGCTTTTGCCCAACTAACCAATAGGAATGTTTTAGGAGAGTTACCTACCCCTGACTCGAACTATAGGGTAAATTGGAAATTGCTATTGGTGAATTTGGCAAAAATACAATACGCACGTAACGGTGAAGGACCAGATTTATGAAAATGATAGATAATGAGTTACACTGTTATTGTTATTGTTATTGTTATTGTTATGACTAATCAGACCGCTGATGTTACAGGATATTACGTCATCATCATTCGATATATCACAAACTCTGTATACCTCTGTCCAATTTCAAATTAAGCAGCATCGCCATCAGACAACTGACTCAAATATGACTTCCATTGTTACGAGTATGATAAGCTCAACCGTAGGCTTGTTGTGCGATAAGGCTCGTGATTCGACTGCGGCGAAACTGAAGGATGGCGATATTACAGATGCAAAAATTCGAGAGATCGTCGTAAGAGAGTTGGATGACATCAAGACGAAACTTGATGGTCTTTCCCCCGTAGATTTATTCAGCAGCTACCGTTTTCTAAAGGAAGGTGTAGAATTAATGTTTCTCTTGATAAATAAAAGCTCGAGCAGAAAGCCGTGAAAAACCCAATTCGAGAAAACCGCGGTGAAACATCAAGAGTGTTGAGCGGTGTTGAGTGTGGGATCTTAAACGAAGCTTTAGAACTTTCTCACGCCATGGGAAGAATGACAATCAATTTGGGTAAACAATTGGAAGCCGCTAAACAGCGATTTAAATATGCCCGTATAAAGAGCAACCGATGCTTTCTGTAATGAAGCACTAAAAATTGAAGATAGAATCTTCGCTGCGAAACTACGAATAGTTTCCGAGATATTGGAATGTATTGAAAGTCCTGAATACGCAATCACAGGATGTTTGTCGCTTCTTCGATAGCTACATGGCTTACCGGCTATCCGTGAGCTGTTCTCCATGTATCTCCGTCGTGGTGTCATGTCGAGGCTAAACAAGGCTGAACGAGTTGCCAACGTGAAATCTGTGATGCTGATCAACAATATTTTGTTTAATTTCAATTCCAAATTCAGTCGCAAACTTTCTGACAGGGTGATTTGGCCTGAAACAATTAAACTTACTGGTCGCAGTTTTAACCCAATATTAGATTGGCAGGAGGTTTCGACAAGAAAATCGATGGGCGAATTGAGTCAAAATCTACACCGCAACCTAACACTTGATCAAGACGTAATTCCATATTTGTCTGCTGTTAACAGCCATGGCGATCACGTTGTTGTTGGTGAGTATTATGAAGTCACCGTTACGATTATTTTCCGAACAGGAAAAAACAAGGTTGTTCCATTACCTGACCACAGAGAAGGCAAAGTTATCGAACAATATATTGAAGGACTTACTGTTGATAACGGCAACAACGTTTATGTGGTGAGATGGTTTGAAACACGTACGGAAAATGGCAATGTAAAAGCTTACGTGTTGAATATATTGGATGAAAATTTCAATGTAAAGCATATTTGTTTCGAGTTGCACAAGTGGCAAGAATCATGCTGGCTAGTGAAGACAGGGAACAACGAATATTTAAACCTCAAGAAATTTCGTTATTTGTAACAGCCTATTTGTACTGTGTAGTGGACAATTTTAGCAACTGATGTATACAATTAAGTTGCCAAAACTACATTAATACGAGAAACAGTCTTTCTCGAAAGAAAATGGTTGAAATTTCAGATTTTAGATTCATTTGTTATTTCAAATTTTACGATATAAAATGCCATTTTTGACCACCATCTGCTTCATGATACTACTTAGTAAATTTAAAGTGCTTTCTATTATATTAGTATACCTATAGAGAAAGACCTTTTTAAGCCAGAACTATCATGACTTTGAATGATTTAATCCATGTACTTAACTGGCCACTGATGGCAATGAAATTATGATGTGTAGAATTATCAAGTCTATCAAGATCCAAAAATTGGCTGTTAAATTCTACCAACTTCTGTTGAAGCTAGTTTCATATATAAGATCAGGTTTAGAGGCCTGTAGCATTTTTCCCAGAAATTGCATGAGTAAAATCAATTTCATAATTAACCCATTGAGCCGCAATGCGCCCTACTTATTTTTTACTTGTAACGTCAGACGATATTATACTCGTCAATGGGTCATTCCAGAAAACATCTATACCACCCCCCACTGAGGAAATAGGAAGTTAACCCCCCTACTCCCTTCGGATGTCCTAAATAATTAAATACATTTACTATTATCAGAAACAATTTTTTCTTCCCTCCCCCTCCGGACGGCAGAAATTTCCTCTGTGGGGGGAGTATGGATCATTTCTGGAACGACCCAATGGGGAAGCTTTGCAGCTTAATGGGTTAAGAAAATGAAACATTCTTGATGATATTTGATGTTGGTAATTCATGCATTTTTGGAGGAAAATATTTTACACAGTGGTTTTCGCCTGACACCGAACCCCAATATTTACATCTTATTTGTCCGAACTATTTTCCTCATTCTTTCAACATGCCAAAGTGATACAAAATAAATTTCAGTTGAATTCAAACAAGTCCTCGGGCCCTGAGTTGTCAAGACTATCACCTTAATTGTTAGCAGCATGTATCTGCTGAGCCCTGGGTTCAAATGAGTGGAATTTCAAGAGCATCCTGACCAGCTTTGTGCACACAGGTGGCCTTACCGGTCAGGATGGGGGCCAGTTAAGTTTACAGTTGGGTATCGGCAAGGTTCATGTAAACTTATTGTTAGCAAGAATGTTATGTGTACACATGCAATCATGTGTAATGTCGTATTGGATTAATAGCAGTGAAATGTTGGGATCCAGTATCGAACAATAACCACAGCAATTATTATATAAAATATTTGGTTGTTTTAGTGTAATATTCATTTCTCACATATTTTTTTCAGAAATAAAGCACCATTGAGCAACTTGTTGGGAAAGAGGAGTCACAAACTGTTGATGAATATATTTAATTAACTACATCCACATAAAATACAATTTTATTAACAGTATCTTGATTTATGGGTTATTAGATGACATTATTTTCATATTAATTAATTAAAATAAAATTAACAAATAAATTACAAAATCAGTGTGAAAATATTGCAACAATCAATTAAAATGTCAAACCAGCCAATTTATTTCAATTATGCATTTTTTTAGTGTAACCTAACCCCCCCCCCCC